AGAAGCGTCTCATTACAGACGTCTGTCTCAGCAGGTACTCGAACGAGCACATGGCCAGAGAGACGTTCCACGCGCAGATCATGGATCACACCTGTCGAGGCGAATGAGGGGTTGCGGACGGCCGCCGTGGCCCCCAGACGTTCCCCGCCCATGTCTATCAAGCACGCGGGCGTCTCAAGGCTGGCAGCGCACCTGGCCATGATCAGCTCGCGAGTGAAATTTTGATGAAATCAAGTGCCAGCGTCATGGAGGCCATCTACCAACTCTTTCTTCAACGTTACTTGGACGTGGATTTTGACCCTATAGCTCGGCGGACCAGTATCATCATGATCTTTCCCGCCAAGGAGAAACGGCACTCAGCACCTATACCAGCACCGCGGGTTTTCCTCGATCAGCCCCCCCCCCCCCCCCCAGAAGTGGCGCGCCAATGTCCAGGTCGCCCTCGCGGAGGAGGAGCGCGACCCCGTCGTGGTCGACCCCCTCGGCAACTTCGGCTTCCAGTCGGGCCGCAACTGTTCGCATCTGACGGGGCCTCTCAGAAATCCCTCGGCAAAAAGCTGGGAATGGCCTGAGCACTTGCAGGTGTATCGATTCCCAGGAGATGCCTTGCAAGCTTTTGATTGCCTGTCTCCTTTCGACTTGCCCAGCTGCCCCCGCGCGCCATCGCGGGCGCGGACGCCTAGCAGCAGCCATACTCCGCGAAGGCCTTGACCTTCAATTCTAACTTGTTTTCCCTGGGGCACCTGGCCTGCCTCCCATCCCATTCACGCGTCGCGAGAAGACGGGCGCTATAGATACCACCACGAAGTGGAACCTGATGACGGAGATGCTCTCCAGTGAGCTGCGAGAGAATTGCTTCAAATCAAAACGGGGCTGCGCTGCAGGACCGACGCTATTTCAATATGCAGTGCGCTGATAACTGGTTGCTGGTCTCTTCTAACTCCTACCACCTCGAGAATATGATTCAGGAGCCCACCGACGCAACGCAACAGCTTAGAATACACCTCGCCGCTCAAGGACAAGGTGGACCTGTTCCCCGACTTCAGCGTGACGATCCGAGCGTTCTGGCCAGGGGCCAACCGCCTGCCCGCTACTCCCACAGGGGTATCCGACTTGGCGGCTGCTTTGAGTACCCATGGTGTGGTTGGCGGCAACTACGAGATCTCACGGCGTCGGCAAATTCTTCCGATTGGGACAATGATTTGTGAAATTGGAGACACGAGTGTCGCGCTCGAGCATCGCATCAGCCAGGCAATCAAGCTCTTCTTCAGCGACTCGCTCTTCAGGACAAGTCTTCTTTCCAGCGGTGAAAGGATGAACAGATGCCGGAGATATTCCCTCTTGTTTGCTGCACGGTGTTGATGGCTTAGCCTGGAACCATACCACGATGGAAAAAGGTACGCCAGCTCGAAGGCGGCACGCTCCGTCGCTTAGCTCGTGCCAAACGCAAACCTGATGAGCCTGCTGAGAAATATATCAAACGTGCCACTAGAGCTGCCCGGCGTCTTATCGCAACGCAGGTCATGAAGCTACCGAATGTCGCCTTCTTCGCTTACTTTTTGGAATTGCTATTTCCAAGCTGTCTACTTCAACATGGCACGAGCAGTGGATTTTAGATGCCCTGAAAACCCACTTCGAGTCTTCCTGGCGCATTCGATCAAATACGAATGCTGCGTTGGAGTCCCATCTTCCTGGGCCCTGAAGAGTGCGACACGGAGACGATCGCTGGAAGCATCGAGCAGGCTGGACACGGCGCACAACCTGGAAGGACCTGTTCCGCGATTGTCTCGGCAATGATTGGAGAGCGCGTGTTCCCGAACTGGAAAGAGCTCGAGAAAAAGGTTCATCTGGTGTCTGGACCACCGCATGAGAGTTCAAGGCAAGGCTGCCCTGAGGCTGAACGACTTGGCAGCGGAGCGGAGGGGGGAGTCCAAACCGGAGAAGAAGAGGGTCTACTTCGAGGTGGAGATGAGGTGGGCGGATTACAAGAGGCACGAGGACCAGGAAAGGGACCTGGAGGAGCTCAGCAAAAACACGAACATATTCGTTGACATTGAAGGTGACAGCCCGACCATCATAAATTGGCTTCGGGGCACACAGAAAATCAACATGCACGGCCACGTCGATCGGATCTCGGCCGTCCACAATACCTTGCACACGATCCTTCGGAGCTGGGGGGGGTGAAACCTCGGGCTGTAGGTGCCGACTGGTGTAGACATGTGCCTAGGGAAAGGAATAAGCTAGCCGACTCGAGGGCCACAAAGGGGGTTCTTGGTCAACTTCGTTGTTTCGAGAATCTGTGTGCTTCCATGGACTCTCTGGTTCCTGCCGCGGGGCCCGTGAAAATCCGTTGCTCGTTTGACGGGGGCGTGCGCTTCGGTGTAGGTGGATTCGGATATGTCATTGAGCTTGTTCAGAGGGGCTGTGACTCCAGTCTAGGAATCTTGTGCGCTGGAGGCGGTGCAGTAGACAGCAGCTCAGTCACAGACGCCGAGCTCAAGGGGCTCGAGTGCGTCACCACCGCCCTCCTCCGCCTCGCCACCACCCACAGGAGAAGGTGGGCAGAATTGCATATTTGGCTCTCTCTTTTTCTCTCTCTCTCTCTCTCTCTCTCTCTCTCGTTGCTTGCCTACGCGATTCGCGCGAGCCTGGCCTCAACTCAACTCCTCCTCCTCCTCCTCCTCCTCCTCCTCCTCCTCCTCCTCCTCCTCCACCTCCTGCTCCTGCTCCTGCTCCTCCTCCTCTCCTCCTCTCCTCTCCTCTCCTCTCCTCCCCTCTCCTCTCCTCTCCTCTCCTCTCCTCTCCTCTCCTCTCCATCCTTCTTCTCCTCCTTCTCCACCCTCGACTCCCTTTCCTCACATTTGTCCTCACCCTCCCCTTTTCCTGTGATGGTTACAGCGTCCATATTCGCACTGTTCCTCCTGTGCTTAGTAGGGAATACCAGCGTCAGAATATGTTTGGCCCGGTCCGCGAGAGCATGCTGCGGCGCATGCATCAATAATCGGAGCATCGGGAGCATCGGGACGAGAACAACGTGGTTGTTGTGCAGCCCCCTGCCGGATGTGGATTGTGGCCAAGGTTGTTCTGAGACGTCTCAAAACGATGATGATTTGTTTCGTTTCTTGGAGCTCCGCCTACCTCCACGTTTCAGTGCCGTTGCCGTTGGTGGCTGTATGTTGCCAGTAGCGGATGCCGCTTATGGTGAGCAACTGCACGAACCTCAGTTCGCGCTTGCTCCTCGGGCCTTGATGTACACAGATGCTGCTGCCGATAGTTGTGGTCCTCAACGTGTCCGACACGAAGTCGCCGCTGGCGACGGTCCTGTTCATGCCGATCATGCGCCCGAACCTCCACCCGATGAAATGTTCGAGTTGCTGCCAAACGTGGCGCACGTTTGCGAAGACGCGGGTTCATGATGATACATCCCCCCTTTCTGTTTTGGCGTTGGGAATATTTTCATGTTCGTAGTTTTGGCCGCCCATTCACGCCCGTCACGGCCGTAGACTCTTGTTGGTATCTCCGAAGCCGCGTTGAATTACCAATTCCCTCAGTGCCACGCCCGCTAGGGCATGAACTACACTTCAGCAAATCGTTCGCCATTTGATTCAGCTAGTGATTGCCCGCGGTTGAGTTCGGCGAGCTTCCGCTCGCTGGTCTGGTCAAGACGCCTTGGATTCCTTCTGATGTCGCTCCTCCGACCCCTCCTCCAACACCCAACGCCTCCTTCTGGTTCCATCTTCCTTCTCTCTATCCCCCTCCTCCTCCTCCTCCTCCTTATCCTCCCCACCATCATCATCAGCAGCAGCAGCATCATCATCCTCATTCTCATCCTCATCATCCTCATCATCGTTTCTCCCCCTCCTCTCCCCCCTCCTTCCTCCGCCTCTTCATCCTTCCTTCTTCTTATGTTTCTTCTGTTCCCTCCCCTCCTCTTACCCCTCCTTTTTTCTTTCCCTCCTCTTCATTATCCCCCCCCATCTTCCTTTCCATCCCCCGATTCACTCCTCGTCTCCCCCCCTCCTCCTCGCCCTCCTCTTCACCCCGCACCTCCTTCTTATGCTCTCCGTTCTCTCTGCCTCTCCCCCTCCTACAGGTCCCCTCCCCTTCTCACACTCATCCAAAACTACACAAAATGAATACTACCTGCCTCTCTCCCCTGACTCTGTCCGGAGAGTCTCCCGTCCTCTCCGCGTATTGTTTTTACACAGGATGTCAACGTTTGGTTTTTTCCTTTGTGCTTTTTCAATCTGGTCGTTTCCGGTTCTTCCAAAATCGTGTTCCCGCTGCAGCCCTGGCTTCGTTCCCGCGCCTCCGGTTGTTCTTAATCGTGTTCCCACAGCAGCGTTGGCGTGTTCAGTCTTTCCAAGTAGCGCTGTCACTGTAGCGCTGGCCTCGTTCCAGTGCTGCGGTCGTTCCAAGTCGTGCTTCTGCTGCTTCGGTGGCCTCATTCCTGTTTTCGGTCCTGGCCTCGTTCCCGCGCTCCAGCCCTTCTAAATCGTGCTCCCGCTGCAGCTTTGGTCTCAGTTCCGTCGGTCCTGGCCTCATTCCCGCGCTTCGGTTCTTCCGCATCGCGCTGGGCCACTTACCTTCCAAGCCATCCGGTGCCATGCCATGGCATGCAGTGCGATGCTGTGTTGCGCACCGCTGTGCGATGCCATGTTTTGCATTGCTTTCTCTTTCGTATGGGATGAGAGGGAAGGGTTGGACGTCAGATGTGACGCTAGCTCACCTCGCTTGCCCTTCCCCCCTCCCCCCACCCCCGCCCTCCCCGCACGCAGGGAGCACCCCATGTTGGCATGCTGAGCATAGCACTTCGATGTTCAGGCCTGACACTGAGACTCATCGCCCCCGCAGCGTTCCATCCACCCCCGCCCCCCCTCCACTTCTCTCCTCCACCGGCCCAGGGCCGATGCCCCGCCCAAACCCCCCCGGCCCGCCGGCCTCACATCATGTCGGTGGGGGGGGGGGTCCTGGCGCGCGTCCGGCGTCCCTCCTGGAAGGAGGGCGGCGCGCACGCGCTGCTGGTGGAGCAGTGACAGCGCGGCCCTCGCGAGAGCGGCTTCGGGTGAGGAGGAGGACGGAGGAGGTATGACGGAGGAGGCAGGAAGAGGAGGAGGAGGAAAAGGAGGAGGAGGAGGAAGAGCAGGAGGAGGAGGAGGAGAAGGAGAGAGGAGGAAGAGGCAGCAGGAGGAGGACTTGGAAGAGCAAAGAGGAGGATGAGCAGGAAGGAGGAGGGCGAGGGGGGAGGAAGGAACAATAGCAGGAGGAGTCCGGGGAGGGGGGAGCCCCAACAGGTTCCCCGCGTGCACGCGCCGCGATTTGGCCTGGACGCGTGCGCGCGGCAGGAGAAAGCCAGAAAAGTCCTGTGCTCCATGTCACGAGGGCAAGCTCGCAAGGATGGCTTCAAGCAAACATGCACGCCCGCATAGAGGAAGGGAAGCGTGCAGTCAAGCAACGGTGCAGGCATGCGCGCAAGCAGGCAAGCACTTGAACACGCAAAGCGCGCAGGTAGCCAGACAAGGGAGCATACAGGCAAACATGCAAGCAAGCACGCAGCCGATTGTAGCAATCACGCAGGGAAGTAAGAAGCGTACATTCAAGCAGACAAGCAAGCACGCATGCGAGCAAGCAAGTGCGCAAGCAAACAATGATTCAAGCGCACGTGCAAACACGTAAGCAGAGCGCACGCACGTCAGTAAGCATTTAGCACCAGCAATGGGAAGCTGGCATACGAATCGGCCGGCAGAGCGAAGCTGGGCTAGGCTGAAACATAGGAATTGGCCATGGACACCAGCAACGGGAACGTTCAAGAAGGATTTGCCATAGGGATTTGCGAAGTCGGCTGTAGGACTTGGCCACCAGGATTTGCCAGTGGAGCCGGCGATCAGCGTCACCTAAGAGAAAAAAATGTCGGATACCGGTTTGGAAGCCGATTAATTTCGAGGCTTGCATGTTCAGTTCAAAGCAATGAGGTGCGGCGCAATGAGGTGTTGCACCGTGCAAAGCATAGTTAGTCATAACGCCGCTTGGCATAGCAATACATTGAGTAGTATCACATCGTGCAGCATAGCCAGGTATGGCATAGCATCGCATTGTAAACCATTTCGTTGTATACCACTGTATGGCAAACCATAGCATTGCATAGCATAGAGTGGGCATGACACGCCATAGAATAGAACAGCATCGCACATGTAGCATAGCGCGTCGCTACCAAAGCGAAGACACAAATTTGTATTAGCAATGCACTGGGTATAATAGTGTGGCCAACACTGCCCAGCATAGCACAGCACATCAGCATGAGAAAATTGTATACCAGGCCAGAGCATACCGTAGCCTCAGCATGGCCCAGGATATGCATAGCCTATCATGGCATAGCCTGGTATCGAATGGCGCAGAATCCAGCTTTCTCCAAGGCCTGGCGCCTGGGCTACCGGGAACCGCTCTGATAACAGCTGCCATACCACGCGCATTCACAAAGCATGTCAGTGCCGCGTGGGTAACCCGAATGTGTGAACGTGCTGTCGTAGCCCAGGCTTCAGATCTGAGCAGGACTCAATTGGCCCCCGGACCGCACCGCGTCTTCGATGCATCGACAGTGCAGCGCGATCCAGGCCCAGACTGTGTCCATACCGACGTCGCCAGCGCATCATCGATACATCGGCGATGCGGTGCGCTCCTGGTGCCCCGTTGACTTCAGCCAGATGCGTCAGGCCGGCGTCAAGCCTCCGTGAGGATTGGTCCCCTCGGAGTGAAGTTCTCCTTCCCCAAAGGTGCTGTCCAGCTCTGCGGCGGAGGTCTTCGCGAGCGGGCTCTCGAGTTGCTTCGAGGAGGCAGCTCGCTGCGGCACTGACGGAGAGCGGCGGGAGAGGAGGTGCGCGTAGGGTGCAGCGGCAGCGCAGGCGTAGGAGGAAGGGGGAGGAGCAGGAATGAATGAATGAATGTATGAATGTCCTTCATGGTCCAGCGTGTCTCTGCTGATCTACCGTGCTCTGTGACGTACCGAGCAGACGAAGACGTGCTCAAAATCTGTTGGAGTTCGACCTACTCGAGCACCGTATCTGCAGGGCCAACGAACGCACCGACCCAAAACTTCGAAGCTCCTGCCAGGCCTGTGGAGCCCCGGAGGCCAGAGCAGGGCAGGGACACCGCCTCGTGCCCCTGCCTGCCCGGGCACGCGGGTGAGGACGGCCCGCGGAGGCACCCGAGAGGGGGGTGTGACCACGAAGGTCTCCCCGGGGCTCGGGGCGCGGGTCCGTCATCACCCGCGACGGCGGATTACCTCGCGTCTACCCTGGTCTGTCCATCGAGACAGATTACTTCTCCAGGAGGAGGAGGAGGAGGAGGAGGAGGAGGAGGAGGAGGAGGAGGAGGAGGAGGAGGAGGAGGAGGAGGGGGAGGAGGAGGGGGGAGGAGGAGAGGAGGAGGAGGGGAAGAGGAGGAGGAGGAGGAGGAGGAGGAGGGGAAAGGGGAGAAAAGGCAGGCGCAGCGGCAAAAAGGGCGGCGGCCTCAGATCCCGCTCTCTGAGGAAGCTGCTCTGTTGCATCCAGTAGTCGGCGTAGTGAACCTGCGGCGGAAATCGCAGTATTTGACGATGACGCTCCTCATGGGTACGGCTCTCTCCGAGCTCCTCTAGAATATGTTACACCCGACGTGCGATGTCTGAGGACGGCGCCATACCGTCGCCTCCTCTATTCTTCAGCAACGTCTTCGCGTGCTCCCACGCTGTCCACGCCAGTGTCTGACGCTGCACTTTGATCTCCAGCTTCGCGTAGTCCCGCGCGTAGGTCTTCTTGACGCGACAGTAAGGAACAACCCGCTGCAAGCCCTGATGAAGGGCCTGACTCCCGTCTGTCTCTCGAAATTGCCAATTGTAGGACAGGTATTCGTTGAAGTCTTGTTTGATTTGGGCGTTGAGTTGTGCCGCTTGGGCCTTCACTGCTTTCATCACCGGTAGAAAGACAGACGTCTGAGGAAGACCCAGCTGCTCCTATCGATCCTCCTTCGCAACTCCCGACGACTGCTGAGCATACGAGCGCCTTGCGTCCGGACCCGCTTGCATCATGACATTGGCCTGAGGGCACACGCACACTTACAAGTCCGAAACCGCGCGGGCAACTCGCGCCCGCTGCTCTGTTGCCAACCTGCGCTTCGCCACTAGAACCAGGATGTCCTTCAGCGTTTTCTGATTGTCTTGGTCGGCCTCCTTCAATGTCGTCCCGAGAGGCTCGCCGCGCCTCTGACGTTGTGATGGAGGCGCGAGTCCGAGCTCGAGGGGCATATCCCTTCGGTACACGAAAAAGTAGGTGTGCAAATCTGGCAGCCAGCGCTGGTAAAACTTCGGCCCTGAACGAGCTACACATAGGTGAATATCACGAGGTCCTGGGACATTTGTGCGCACGTGTATATGCTATAAAGCCAAGGATTTGAAATTCTGCTCACACATAGGACACACAATCTCAGCGTCATCGTGCACATGTTGTGGTGGAATCGCAGGATCCATGAAGCATCGATTCTGCATGAAGGCGTGTCGCACAATATACAGCACAGCCACGACTACTAAATACTGACGAACGCCATATTCAAATATTAGTTTGGAAAAAAATGCTCAACATGTATATCGCCATTTTGGCGCCCAGCTCGAGACTGATGTACGCGTAGGGCTCGAAGGGTCTCAAAGGTCTCCCCACATTCCTGCCCGGTAGCTAGGATATCGTAGATTTGATAAGTTCGCTCACGTGGGTGCTCAGCTTCAGGAACCTGTGGAGCCTGTTGGAATCCTGAGGGAGGAACGGTGACGGTAAGAAATGTACTCCGAAGCTCCGAGACATCGATTTCCAGAAATTGGGCCAGCAAATCCTCATCCACAGGAGCCTCTGGGGGATGCCATCGTACCTTTCCACAAAGAAGGCTCCCTCCTCAAGCTCAGTCAAGCAATACAGATCCTCGATCGTTCTTTTCACGAAGAATGTAGACGAGCCGTGCCTGGTGTGGTCCAGAGGGTCTTGTTGAAAGGGCATCTGGGGGGCCAGGAGAATGGTGAGGAGCTGCTCGTTTTTCGGGGGCCCTGAACATTGCCTGGTATCACCGAAGTCTTCGAATCTGGAGCTCCAACGAGACTGGTGCCAGTCGGAGCAGCTGCAAGCCACGAGCAGCCGAGAGGCTGGTCTTCTTCTCGGTGCCGTCGGGGGGGGGGGGGAAGTGATCGCTGTCGCGGCCGCGGCGCCCATCATCAGCTTGCGGCAATACCACATCTGAGTTTTGTCGAGCTCCGCCTCGTCGCCATTGCTGAAGGGAAGCCCCAGCACACCAGACAGAAGACGAAACAAACACATCATGCGAACCAGTATTAACTTGACTTCACTACAAACTCTGATGAATCAAAATGTGCGAATCAGATTCGGATTATTTCTGCATGCTTGCACTCGTCGTTGAAGCTCCACTCCAGTATACCCTCCGTAATGAATCATGGGTCCCAGATAGCGTGTTTCACTGAGTTCTCGACTTGGCACCCATTGATCAGCATAAGCTCTCCTCTGTATACCTCCTGAATTATTTAAAAGCGGCTGTGGCCTCCAAACCGATCTCCGCGAGATGTTCTGACAATGACCCAGTACATCGAGAAGTCTTGTCCTGCATGTTGGCGAAGCCGTCCACACATATTATGCACGCGAAGTACCTGCAATGAAGGCTCCAAGGTGTCGGCTCGCCAGTCATCAACTGATGCACCGTAGGGCTTCTCAAAAAGACCTTTGCTCAAAGAGTACTCTTGTGTTGCGCCCTCACCGTGATGACAATTAACTCGACCATCGATCGCCTCGAACTCAGCGACACACCCACCAATGCGACCTTTCAGCAACTCAGCGTCGCTCTGCGAGCTGGTAGGGAAGATAATCGTGTCGTGCTTCACGCAATTGAAGGCGTTGACCTCATCGAAATTGAGAGCAATATGTGACTTGCTTGCTTTGCGAAGTGGCTCCATCATTATCGTTGTTGCTGCATTTGCGCCTTTACAGTGCCGGCCAGGTATATGATACGC